CCCTCCACCTCCAGTCACTCTGCATCCTCTTTGTCGCCAGAAGAAAGGTCAGCGACTTTAACTAATCCCTTCCTCCTCCGGAGGAAGCGCTAGGGGCGAACTATTCGGTTGGCTGAGAAGTCCCTTCAGTGTTTCCCGGGCTCTAGTAGCGCTTAGTCATCTTTAACCTTATTCGAAACAATTTTGTTAGATTATATTGTGGCAGCTGTCATATCAGCGTGATTTTAAAATAAACATTGGTGAGTTTTTGTGCAGCCATTTTAATATTGAAGATGGAAGAAGATATGCAACATTTTTGGCATGTTGTGCTTCATTATTTCAAGAAAGTAAAAATGCAATGGAAATGCAAAAAGATTTGTGCAGTGTGTGGAGAAGGTGCTGGGACTATATGTGTAAAAAGTGGTTTGCAAAGTTTCTTGGTACTATTGACATTTGGGCCAAATAACCATTTGCTGTGGAGCTCTTATGCACTGGAAGATGTTTAGCAGCACCCCTGGCCTCTGCCCGCTAGAAGCCAATAGCGGGAGATAGCTGACATACTCAAAATATCCAAATCAATGAAATTTCTGGTGAAAATGAAAAAAAAAAACGTGTCCTTTATTTCATGGAGAAAATGTAATGGACTTTCTGGCCAACCCAGTATTTTTCTGTGCACACAGCAGCAAAGCAGGGACCCGGAGAGGCGGGGAGCGCCCCACTATGTACTTCCGTGACACAGGCATGTTTGTGGGGTGTGGAGGAGCCGGGGGGTGTGGGCTGGGGCAGCAGCCTGTGGAACCGTGACCGGGAGACCAGGGTCCATCTGGGCACCGGCTTTCCTCGTGGAAATTTCATGGCCTGCACGTCTCAGAGCCTTGAAGTCTAAGTGGTCGGAGTCCCCACGTGGGACATTCTGGAGGCGCGTTCCGCTCCTTCAGTGGACACCCCAGGACTTGGCGCCCAAGGACTCGGGGGTGGAGCGTGAGCTGGAGCCCTGCTTGTCCGGTGGGAGCAGCGCCAGGACCACAGACCTGTGCTCACTCGGGCGTCCCGTCTGAAGAGGCCGAGGACGGTCGGGGCTTGGAGAGGAGCAGGGGACAGTGTGTGCTCCACTGCAGCGCACGGGCAACGCGGCGGGGACCCTCCAGGTCTGCAGGATGCTCCACACCCACTCCAGTTCCTCGGTGACAAAGAAGCCGGCTTGACAGCGGGGACTGGAAAGCCCCCGCCCGTCCAACAACAGCAGGTGCAGGTGTGACAGGGCGTTGGGCAGGCCCGCAGGTGGACAGGTGCTGGCCGAGGTGTCCGCAGTGACGAGGAGCCCCTAAAAGGGCCACGGTTCCAGGCTGAGAGGTGACCAGCCGAGGCGGGCACAGGCGAGACCGGAGACGGACCCTCCTCCGGCACACGGACGGCAGGGGAAGGGAGAGTGGCCCTCCGAGAGAACCCACAGGGCACGTCCGTGCGTCGTGCATTCAGGTCTAGGAAGGTTTCCCCCAGGGTTTAGGAGGAGAGGAAAACAAACATTTTTACTCCAAACACTGTGCGTGTTCATTTAGAGAAGAATACAGAAAAGGCACTAAAGTAAAGCAGCACTAACATGAGCCCCCTGAGCACAGGGGCCCCCCAGCAGCCCACCTCCTGACCCCCAGAACCTGCAAGCGCGTTAGGAGGTGGGCACAGGGCAGAAAGGCTGCAGGTGAGGCTGTTGGCTAAAGTGGACCTCATACTACGGAGACAGCGCTGGGCCAGTGGGGCGGGCCCCTCACCAGGAAGGGGGCCGGCAGTCCAGCGAGGACAGAGGGAGAAGTGGCAGCCCTGGAGCAGCCAGGGGCCCCGGGGTCCAGGAGCAGGCCCAGCCCTCGCACCTGCAGGAGGAGCGCCCCCCCCGCCCCTTGCCGTCAGGCCCCGGGACCCATTCCAGCCCCGGCTCCCAAACAGCAAGATCGCATGTGTCCTGTAAGCCACTGGGTTTGTGGGAGCATGTCCTGGCGGCCACGGCAAGCTGATACACACAGATGACCTTTGCTGCATTGGGGAGCCTCCTTCTGAATCTCTGTTTCTGTGTAAGAATTCTTCAGTTCACTGTTTTTTCTGCCTTTTAAAAAGTAACCATCCTGTCCAGCCGTGTTGCTCCCGAACTGGAACTGGCAAGGTTAGAAGCTAATTGGAAGAGCAATGGAAGGAAGAGCTCACACGCATTTAGCCATTGACGAGCAGGCAGGACACAGACAACCCCAAGAAACCCAGAGAGCTGCAGGGCCAGGGCCGCCGGCTCCCACCTGGATGCTCCGCCTGGCCAACTGACCCGGCGACCGGCGCTGCAGAGCTGCTGAACTCGGCGGACTTCCGGCCACACCGAAACCATTGTGCCTGGTCCTTCCTGAGCCCTTTCCTTCCTTCCTTCCTCTGCGAGCTGAGATGTTTTGGTCTGGGGAGCGGGGAGAGACTGCGTTTCCAGTTGAAGGAAGTGCGGTTATTACTAGAAGCTCTGATGCCGAGATTCCGCGGACGGATTCCCTTTGTGCACAGATGGGAGTGGGCCAAGCGAGCAGCGTTCAGCTGTGCCGCCCAGGCCCGGAGGCCGGGGGTCCACTCTGGACCTCTGTGTCCTTGTCTGCAGGAGCCGAGTCCTGGTCACTGCCCCTCCCCTCTCCCCCAGGATCCTGAAAGAACTCTGGTCTCAGGCTCCAAAGCCCACGTCCAGGGTCAGGAAAAGCAGCTGAACCGGAGCACAGGTTCGGGGAAAGAGGAGTTTAGATTAAGACTCAGCGATCTAAGGAAAAAGGCGCCTAACTCACCTCCCACTGTGTCCCCGTGTGCAGCTGAGGTGCAGGGGCCCTGCTCTGGGGCCGCTGGCCGTCAGCACTGGACCAGCCTGCTGTCCGGAGGCCCCAGGCACACCGCTGCTCCCAGGGAGACGGGGCAGCACCTCTCCCTCTGCCGCTGCCCTCCGCCTCCTCCATCACCTGGGGAGCTGCCCAAGGGGGGGGGGCTTTGTAGGGCTGCTGCGGGGGCAGGCCTGAGCCTGTTTGTCATCGATAATGTCACAGGAGCACTCTGTGTGCCTGGACACACTCTGCTGTTTAGGAAGCCCCTTCGTAGCAAAACATAAACGGCGCTAAGAGGGCAGCACTTTCAAAATGAAAAATGAAAAAAAAAAAAAAAAAGAATCCCTGGAAGTAGTAACCCCGGAGAACACTGACGCGAAGCAGGTATATTTACACCCGTCTGTAGTCTGCTGGCTGTAATTAGCGTGGAAAGGTCAATGGCTGCACCCTAAAGCGTCTCTTCGAAGGCCTCTCTGCTCCACATCGACAAGACCTGCTTCCAAAGATTATCTGAATTCTGATTTAATCACATCGCCTGCCCGGGGATGGCTGCCGTGCCTCCTCAGGCTCATCCCAAACGCCGCCTCCTCCGGGAGGGCTTCCCTGGTTCCTGCCCCGTCACAGCAAGCGTGTCCCCCTGCCCCTGCGTCTCCACACCGAATCCTCCACCTGCGGCTGCCAGCTGGGGAGGCCGCATCTGCCCCGGCAAACTCCTAATTAAATGAAAACACAGAAAAGCTCACACAGAAGATTTCGTTTTTGGCGAGAGTGCACGAGGGGCACCCCCTGGAGGCCACGCCATGCAAATGCGGGGGCGCCCCTGTCTGGGTGGGGGTACACTGCTCAGGAGCGAGGAAGCTGGTCTGAGTCCTGTGGGTGCGTCTCCACGGAGCAGCGGCCACTGAGACGTTCCTAGGGAGAACTCGGCGTGTGGGAGCGAGAGTGTTGGTGACGGAGCCACAGTGAGTGTGCAACGGTAGACAGGGCACTGGCATGTGCCCCGCACAGGTCTTGGTTCCCGTGTCTCAGAAAAGCATTTCCCACAACATCCTCCACGGAGCACCAGCTCTGGTCAATGCGGTGTCACCTGGGCACAGGTGGCTGGGCTGCTCGCGCACACCTGCTCTGCCCGCCTGCAGGTCTGGGGACCGGGGTGTCGGACGCCCCACACATGAGCGGGCAGCCCGGCACTGGTGGCAGGGACACTTCCGGGAGCCGGGCTGTGGCCACTGCCCAGGAGGACAGCAGGAGGGCAGCCCTCGCCGAGCGTCCTTGTCGGTGGAAACAGCCCCCGCTACCCCGTTGGGTGGTAGCCACCCAGGAACCTGGACGCCTGGCCCCCTCCACCTGCTAGCGTGAGCCTCCGTCCACAGCATCTGGGTCGAGGGCCCAGCGCCCAGTCCCACCTGCCGGCTCCCCTGCCGGAAAAACCACCAGGAGAGCAGGGAGCGGGCTCTGGCGCGTGCAGCGGGGAGGCTCCCTCCATGCTCCCAGGCCCTGGGATACAGGACAGATGAGGGCCCCTTCTGTTCACATGGGACGCGCACACGGGAGACCCTGGAAGGGAACGCAGGCCCTGAAGGCACTGGGCCAAAGCCTGCGGACCTTCCTGGCAGGGTCGCAGGGTGGTCTCTGAGCCACGGCAGAACGCTGGGGGGCCGCACCGCCCCCATGGCCCAGTGCTGGCTGGCTCCCTGTCGTGACAGCACCACCGTCTCCGCCCAAGGTGATGGGCTGAGCGCAGGGGACGCAGGGACAACAGGGCCACGTGTCCCTTGCTGTGGCACGATGGCCATTCCTCAGCCTCTCAGGCCACTGTAGTCCTGGCCCTGTCATTGCACTCACGCCTGGCTCAGCCCCCTGTGTGTTTGCAGCGAGGCGCAACTCCGCGCCAGCCCAACGCGCCGGGTGCGCTCCAGGGTCACTGGTGTGCACGGGACCCCGCTCCCGGTACCGGCCGTCCCCACGGTCACGTCCCGCGGCCTCCCACACGCACTCCGCACACGGTCCGGGGGACACGCGTCATCACCAAACCGGCGCGGGCAGCCCTGCCCACGGTGGCCGCTCCGCGACCGGGGCAGGGCGTCCCGATGTCCTTCTCCGGGTGGGACAGGGAACTGGACTCCAAGGGCTCAGACGGCAGCCCCTTAACACCCACGGACGCCCCCAAAACAGACTTTCAGGCACAGGGTGGTTCAAAGCTTTATAAAAATACGCACCAGCTTCAAACTATACAGTTTATCCAGCGTAACAGAATGTACATTTTTTTATTCTCACAGGAATTAGAAGAACAGAACCCCTGAGCAGTCATTCCAGACAAAGGCAGTTTTCAAAAGTGCAGGCTCCACTCTATCCCCGCGGTCCCGGGAAGTCTCGGACGACCTGGTCCCCTCGCGCAGGCGGAACGACAGAGCAGGCGCGCGGGCCGCGTGGGGCACGAGGGCGGTTCAGGCAGCGCCATCCTCTCTGCGCCCGGCCGGGCCCCCCGGGCTGCCCGAGGCTCCCTGTGGGGCCCCAGCTCCCGGCAGCCAGGGGCCCCGGCCCCCTTCCCGGCTTCGCTCGGGGAACATGTGTGTGGCCCAGTAATTGAAGAGAGCTGAGACCACGCCGGCCTGGTCTGCAGAGCGAAACAGAACAAAAGGGAAAAGTGTTAATTGTCCGGCAGGTGTTCGTGAGCCTTGGGGCCCGAGGTCAGCTCTGAGATAAGGGAACACTGACTAAGACGCGACCTTGATGCCGCATGACAGACAGACTCCGCAGACAGAGGGACAGACGCCTGCTGTTTCATCCGCTTGGGCGTGAGCCCCCAGGCAGTGGGACGAGCCTGACGTCGAGCTGGCGTCCGAGCTGGTGTCCGAGCCCACGGAACACCACACACAGACCGACGCGAAGCACCCCACGCTGGCCAGAAGCCGGCCGAATTCCAGCGCTGGAGCTGGAGCTGGGAGAGCGCGGCACCCCCGTCTCGGGAGGCCGGGCCCTGGGAACTTCCCTCTAAAGTAACGAAATGGGGTGCTAAGAGGTGGCAGCTCCAAGTCCGAAGCGTCGGTGCGCGGGTGTTTCTGCACCCCCGCCGTGGGCTGTTCCACGGCGGACACTCCTGCATGCAGGTGCCCGCACTCCTGGCGGAGCAGCCCAGCAGCTCCCACCCCTCGGCAGCTGTACCTGGCGGCATGGCGCAGTGCTCCGCGAACGCCTGCAGGGCGCGCTGCAGCCTCCCCGGATCCTGCAGGAGCAGCAGCGCCTTCAGCTGCTCCAGGCCCAGCAGGTCGGCGGCGCACACGCTGCGAGCCTCCAGGCCCGTAAACAGCGCCTCGGCGGCGCCCAGGAAGGCCGGGTCGGGGTCATGGGAGACGCCTGCAGAGACAGCCGCGTAGACGCTAGTTCATCTCCGCTCCCGCGGACTGAGGACCCGCACGGCGCTCCTCCGACGCCGCGGTGGGGACGGGACGTAAGAAGCTTCCCAAGCGGCAACCTGAGCACCACTCTGCGCGTCAATGACGGGCACCTGGCGCCTGCTCACGTGACCGGACCCTGTGGGTGGACACACAGGACAGGGACACCGAGCTCTGCAGACTACGCTCGGGCCGCCCTCGGCAGCAAGGAAACCGGGAGGCGCGGCGACCACCGCAGGGAGGACTCGCGTCACCGTCCCCACCAATGACCACAGAGCTGTGGGAGGGGCTGGTGTTCGCCGCTCTAACCCTACGTGGAGGTCACGGGACTTGTTCAGTCTCCGACTTCGCGGCCTCTGTCGGCTGGGAAATACGGCCAAGTCCCATTCCTTAACCAGTGTCCCCGCCTACGGGGACCGGGGCACAGGTGTCTGGCCCCGCCCTCCGTCTCCCTCCCACCTGCGCGCCCTGCCCGCGCCGCGCCCGCGTCCCTGGGGACTAATCCTCTTCTGTCTCCACTCCTGTTCTCAGTGGGTTGCTGTGTGTCCAGGTCTAGGATTTCCGTCGCATTGTCCTCTAACAGGTGCCACCGAATGGGCGAAACTCCCCGTGTTCCCTCTGTCCCCCACGTCCCCATCGATCCGGACCCTCAATGCAAGTGTAAACCTGCTCTTACTTCAACTCGGAGACGCGCCCTGCAGTCTAAGCTGGGGCCCAGCAGAGCCCCGGATCGGTGCCCACCTTTTCTTTAGAAACACAGCCCACCACAGCGTGCCCCTCGGCCGGCTTGGGGAGGTGAGGGTGAGGCGGCCGCTGCAGCCAGGATGCTGCGCTGACCCCCCGGCGGCCTGAGCTACTGCTGGTCAGAGCCTGGCGAGAGGAAGCTGAACTCTCATTTTTGCCTCAAAACGAACGGTTCATATTGAATAATAAATATTTAACGTTTTGTATTTTAAACAGTTAAATATTATACTATCTTTGTTTCTATTCCCAAATAAATAGATGCTACTATTCAAAAAAACAGAAAAAATCATACCATCATAAAGATACATCTCTTGTGTGGACTTCAAAAAATCGAGGATGCCGTCTGCCTTCTCCTGGACGTCCGCGCTGGCTTCCTCGGCCTCAGAGTCCCCCGCGTCCCCCGGGGCCCCCTCGCCCGCGTCACTCAGCTCGCAGCCGTCCTCCCTGGGCTCGTACAGGAAGCTGATGCCGGAGGCTTTCGTGAGTAAGCCGGCTGCTTTCTTCCTTCTCAGTTGTTGTTTCTTTTTCAGTTTCCTTTTCTTATTTTTGCTCATTGTGGGGTCACCTGTGTGACGTGGCTGCAATGTTTCCTGTGGGAAAGTCTGCTGTTTCTCTAGTTCTGCTTGTTCTACATGAACGTTGTTGGGTTTTAATGTTCTCTTTGTTTTTTGCTTTCTTCTTCTTCTCCTCTTTGGTTGATCATGAGGATCCTGATCTATAAAAGCAAAAATGCTAATACAACACTTTTCTGTATACTGTTTGCACAGTAACCCACAGCAAACATATTAACCTAAATACACTTTCCCATTAGGATCTTGTAGTTTTAGTAGAAAAGGGATTTTATAAGAATACAGTGATTCTCAACTGTATTTCAAATAATTACACTCCAAGGATTCTGAGACTTACAATAAAATTAAAAGTTTACTTATTCTTAAAAAGAAAAAGCAGGTACAGATTGTGAGCCCCGAGGAAAAAAGACACCTACTAATTGGGCTCAAACTGAAGTGAAATGAAACAAAACAGAAAGAGCCTAGCAGCCACCTCTGCCCAGGAGCCTCTCCCACAAACTGCACCCCAGGGAGCAGCCCACCCTGAACTGCTCACCTGCACTGTGGCTCCACTGAGCAGCCCTTATATAGGAGCTCCTGGAATCCTACTTCAACCAATAGGACTGAGGCTTTCCCTATGCAATCAGAGTTGTGCAGCTCCAGCCAATCAGAGTCACTCTATTCTGGCCAATCAGAATAGTACCCTTTGGACCAACCAAACTGCAAGGATTTGTAGCCCTTATTTGCATGAGAATGGACCAATCAGGGGCCAGGGCCAGGGACTTCTGTCCATAAAAGCCAGCTCTGCCGGGGTTCTGGGAGCTAAGTTCTCTATGATCTGAAGGCTGTGTTCCCCTGGCTGCAGCCATGCTGGGGGAGCTGTGTTACCACTGAGCTGTTTATACTCAATGAGGTTTTTTTCTGCACTGTATCCACGGTGGAGACTCCTGTTGGTGTTGAGCTGACACCAACGACAGCTCCTATGGGCAACCTACCCCGGAATAGTGGACTATGACACCAACATGAGAGGCAGCCCTGAGTCTCAGTCTCACCATCTGCAAGGGGGGACGATGCTGCCTCCTCAGCTCAGAGTCCAGGTGAGCCTCGTCTGTAAGACAGCATGCTGCCTTTCCGGGTCCTGCCCTGAGCTCAGACACCTCTGCACCCACAACCTGGAGCTGAGTGGGCTGTAGCAGCTCAGCGGTGACTCAGGGTGGTTCTCTGTCCTCTGTAGTTATCGCCTGGCCCGACCCATGTTGATAGGACACAGCAGCCACCCTGGAAAGCAAACCAGAGCACCAGTGGTCCCCAAGGCCCTCCCCTCTCTGGGCCAACGTGGAGGCCCCGCCCAATGCCTCCAAATTCTGTCCTCAGGATCCAGGCGGCACTGAGAGAGGAAAGTCGTTACCATGACCACTTGTAGACGGACTGTTTCTGTCCCGACACAGAGCTGCTGTGTCCCCCGACGGGAGTGAACCGTGCATGGCCGGGACAGCCCAACAAGTACAGAGGAAACACAGGGTGGTGAAGGCACCTCCAAAATCTCTAGCTCAGGACTGCTTTCCCTTCTTGAGAGGGCTCTGCTCCTCAGACACACGGCTGCATTCTGGCGAAGTGCCTAAGTGCTGGGCCTGCGAGACTCCCTCGTCCATGGTTTGGTCTGGTCTGGCGCGCAGGTGGTGCCTGCCTCTGCGCCAGGCCAGGCAGCCCACGGCTCCAGCATCCACAACCTGCCCGACCTCCGGCTCTGTCACCTGCTTCAGACCCCCGGGGCACGAGAAAAGCTGCAGAACATTTGCATCGGGGAACCAGAGGTTTGACTACTTCAAATCTGAGAAGCTGCCATCCCCAAAGCATACCTTTCCTTTCACACATGCTGATTTTAAAAATAACCACCATTTGTCAAAACCCTCTCCACCACTGTTTGGCACCCACGTCCTGATGAGGTGCTGTCGTGGAAACAGACACCAAAACAGCCACAGTCTCCAGCTCCTCCGGCTGTGCAGCTGTACCACACCACCTGGAAGCAAGCTAATGTTTTAAAGGGACAGGAGTCTTACTGTGGAATCAATGCTAAGGCTACAAACGAGATGATCACCCTCAGTATCCATGAGATCTAGGTGCTAAGTAATAGGGAGTAACTTACATTTAACCTTGACCTAAGTCATGTATATAAGGCCAAGAGTTAAAATAATATCAGATGCTTATAGTCTGGGTGTGCAACCTGAGGCCCAGGATGGCTATGATTGCGGCCCATCACGGAATTGTAAATTTACTTAAAACACTGAGGCTTTTTTGTGATTGTGTCACAATGCACTTACAGTGTGGCCCAAACAACTCTTCTTCCAGTGTGGCCCCGAGGTACTGAAAGGTTGGACACCCCTGGTACTATCCGCCTGAAATTCAGGACACTCTGTACTAACAAGTACCAATCGAGCACACTGAGCAAGGTGAGACCTGCAGACTTGCAGTCGCGTGCCCAGACACGACAGTCTGTCGACAGAAGCATGTCTGTCCAGGCCGTGGGACAGCCAGCAGGGGGCCAGGCCTGGGAGAAGGGAGGATGGGTTTGGTTTGGCTCAGAAGATGAAAAGCAGACCAAGGCGTGGTGGAGGGGTGGGGACGGGGGCGGGGCCAGTGCTGAGGACAGAACCTTCCCACTGAGCGTGCCAGTGCCAGTGGCCTCTGGGGCTGGGGTGCCTGGCCAGGTGCGGAGTGAGGAGACTCTGCCTTCAAAGAACGGATGCTCTCCCTCCTCTGACCTCTCAAGCAGGACATCTCGAGAGCTCGAGCAGCAGGGCTGTGACAGCCGGACTCGGCCAAATTGGCCCTGGCTCTTCATGCCAGCATCAGGACACGATGTAGCTTTTCAATCCAAGTGACCCGAGGACAGACAGGCTGGCCAAATGTAGGCCTCGGTTGTGAGTACACGAAACTCAGACTTACTCCTGTACTGTTACGAATTACTGTATCGTTTTCCACGTGGACAACTGTAAACCTGTGCAGGCCCCGCCCTGTGTGGCCCTTTAGCGTGGCCACGAGGGTGCTGGGTTAAAGCGCTGGCCCCGGCTTTGAGCCCAGAGCTTAGGAGGCAGAGCTGCCCCCTGCTGCTGCCCTGACAGCGACCCGTGCGCAGGCGGTGAGCACGGGAGCCACGCGAACCCTCAGTCACCTGGACGCTGGCCTGCGCGCTGTCCGGAAGGCTGGATGCTGGCATCAGCCCCGTGTCGCCTCGGCTCATTTCACACAGGCCTCGCTCACATGCGCTCAGAACGACGCCTTCACTGCTCACGTTCACCCTCTCAGGGCTCGGAGTCTGAGGACAGGACACAGCGGGGGCCATCAGCCCCTCTGACTCACCCCCCGAGGAGGGAGACCCTTGCCCGTGCGTCATGTTTTAAAGTGCCACTTCAGAAAACCATCAGGATAAAAACGGAAGACTGTGCACTCTCACCCTGACCTCGTCACACCCTGAGCCAGTGCGCCGTGCAGGGACTGCCCGGTCAGCAGACTAGAGGGAGTGTCCGCCCAGGGCCTGGTCTGGGCTCGGCCGCAAGTGGTACAGCCGCACCTGACTGGTCAGATGAGTGGCATTGCCCTGACATGCTCCCGATGACGGCCCCCAAAGGCCTCAGCGACCACAGACCAGACTTCTCCAGCCCGGCCAGCGCCCACAGGGTCTGAAGCCACCTGCTTGGAACCAGGGCCCAGGTCTGTCCATGCACAAAAGGATGGATGTCTAAGCCACACGACCCACTAGAAACATGCAGAAGCACACGCGTCCAAGAGCCATGAAGTCACTACTTCGAAGGGTGCTTGCTGTTAAAATAATCACAGCAGCTTTCCACAGAAAGGACTCGACTTTCACGACTCCGGCTGACCTGAACACGAGGGCCACACGAACACAGGAGAAGCACGCGGGCCAGAGCGGGAGGCAGCAGGGCTGCAGTGACCCTCAGACATCAGTCAGGACCGAGGACCCAGGTCTGAGCGGAGCCCAGTCTCTGCACAGAGCTGTCGGGGCTCTGTGTGGAGAGAAAGGGACGGCCCCCATGGGCACCATCACCCCTCCCCGGAAAAAAAGACACTACACCAAAGGTTCTCAGCATGCCTGCTCCCAGGAACCTGGCAACAGAGGAGGAAATGAATTAACATAAAGGTTTTGTCTAACAAACAGCTTATAAAAATGTAACTTGTAATAATGTATAGTCAAAGTTATAAATAAAAGTTACCCCTAACTCTGCCAGGTTACCATGGCAATTTAAATGGAATGGATCCTAATTATTCAATTCCCTTTTTGCTGTGTTTTAGAGACAGCTCCCTGCTCTCACACAGACCAGGCCCCTCCCAGCCACTCTCCGGGGAGGTGGGCCTGGGCCCTCGGGGCAGGGAGACTTGCACCGTCTGTGAGAGACCTTTGTCTGCTGGCACTGTCATCGTCCCACTTCCTATGAGGATGACACTCCAGCTCGGTCCCCACAGAGCAGGCCGGGACGTGGCACCTGGCCTGGAACAAACGGACGGACAGACAGACGTCCTTGCAGCAGCAGCCCGCGCCGCCTGCCAGTGTCCTCGGCAGAGCCAAGCGCGCCGGCACGTGAGAGAGCCCGGCACGTTCTCCCCGCATGTGCCGCGGACGCCGTGCAGCAGGCTGGCCACCACAGCTCACCGTGAAACCAGTTCGGGTTTGCGTTAGTCTGTTTACCTGTGATCAGGCCCCAAAGACGCCCAGGATCCCTCGCCCGGCCCCATTTTTGGTTTGGCAGTTTTTGACCCTTAATTAGGAACTCAGATCAATGTGCTAGAAAACCACATTTTCTTAATATTCAAGTTAATTAAGATTAAAAGCATACAGTTTCTCAGTTTATATGCTTGGCAGAAATCTTCTGGGTATAATTTTAAAATTCATATTCCTCTAAAGGAAGTTTTGAAATAATCAATTAAAACAAAATCACTACCATCTCATTTTTCAAAGTAGATACTTAATGTGTGACCAAAGCGCCAGTTAACAAAGCAAGTCAAGTGACTTCATTTTTCTGCAAAACACATGCAAAGTAACTTATTTCCATGATTAGAAAATCTATAGACCATTCCAGAATATTCTGAAGACATTGGAAAATGAAAGAAACAGTTCTCCTAAACCAAGGCCAGTACTGCTGCCACTTGGATGCATTTAACACCAGCTGTGTCTACGGTCAAAATCACACTCCACTCCGGATCTGAACGGGGCCACAAACCACCCCCGCCCCCACGGGCCTGAGCAGGGGCCTGCTCTGCCCTCTAGGTTTGAACCGGGTGAGATGAGCCCAGAGAACGGCTTTCTTACCTCCCGCGTCCTCCTCGCTGCTGCAGGTGCTCTCGGAACCCGAGCCGCCCGGGAGCTCCTGCGGCGTGGGGGCGGGGACATAGCCCTCGGGCGGCAGAGCCACGGTGTAGAGCTTCCTGCCGGGCGGGGCCTCAGTGCCGCCACCTGCCGGAGGAAACGGGCACAACAGGGAGCAGTCAGTGCCGCCGTGTCCTGGGACCCTCACCTGCGCCACATTCGTGGGTCCGGGCACCACTCAGCCCAATGCAATGTGTTAACAGGATCGTGCTCACGTGGTTTATTATGAAACACTTGCACATCACGCATTTGTATGTTACACAGGTAATATCACTCAAAGGTGAATGTTAGGGTAAAACAACACACTAAGATATAGTTAAATTACAGTCTTTTAAAAAAATATCCCCACCAGAGGCTATGCTTACTGATTTTAGAGACGGAGGAAGGGAGGGAGAGAGGAGCATCGATGTGGAAAGCTCCGAGCAGCTGCCCCGCCCCCGATCTGTGCCGCGACTGGGGACTGAACCCGCGGCCTGGATGTCGGCCGCGACCAGGATCCAGCCTGCTGCTCCTGCCAACTGGGCCACCCAGCCAGGGCCTCAGTCTTTTACCGGCTACAAAAACCGTGCCACTGGCCAGTAACAACCACCGTCCTCAAGTTTGCACGTGGGGTTGACTCTGAATTTCCACACGACAAACTGTTGCTGTGACCGCCGTGCTGCAGGTAACTTTGCCCACTCAGGCCCCTTCCAACATGGGCCTGGGGAGGGGCGCTGGTGGGAGGGCCGCACCTTCTCCCCGCTTCTCTGACACGCGACGCCAGGCAGGACCGGCCCTCTCAGCTGTCACATTCCCCTCAGCATTGGCAAACACAAGCGGATGCCCTGATCCTTCACAGGAAAACAAGTCTTTAAAAAAAACAAGGATGGCACAAAATCTCTAATTCCTGTGCAGGCATTTGGTTTCAAGGCATTTAAACTGTAAAAACCTTGAAACGTTGTCAAATTCTTCCGCCACCGATACAGTTCCCGTCACCACAAAACCGTCGTGGGGATGTAACGGCAGCACAGGGAGTGTCGTCGGGAATGCTGTGTCGTCCGCGGGTGGGGTCAGGTGGGGGCCGGGGGGGCTGAGGGAGCACTCTACAGAGTCTGACCACTAGCTGGGCACCTGAAACCGACACAAAGCAACACTGCCTGCCAACTGTAACTGAAAAACTAATGTTTCCCTTTTTGAAGCTACGATGCACATGGTGGTCTAGTTCTCACCCCGAGTCTGACCGACGGCAGGTGGCTAATTACAGTCTCCCTGCTGGAATGGGGGAGGGTGTGGGGGTGGACACAGGCCCCACACGGAGCTCCCCTGGAGGGGAGCATGGACTGTGATCATTTTTCAGAATGACGTTTGGAAGCTTTTAATGAGATTAATCTTTCCCAATGAGAAAGCTGCGTGGAACTTAGAAAAGCACTGCTCCCTCTGCGCTCAGGACGAGCTCAGGGTCTGCAGAGACAGTCTTGCGGCAGGAAAAGCTCACCCGTCATCGACTGAGAACACCCGTTAGGAAGCTATAGGAGGCTGACTTCTGGGGCTGTGAGGGTCTTGTCCTAACGAGACGTCACCGAGAGAAGGCACGCGGTCCCCCTGGGCCTCGGTGTGCCCTGGGGAGCAGCGTCCCTCCAGCTGCAGGTGCTCTCCCCTTCCTGGGCAGGGGGGCTGTGTTGTGACAGCAGGTCCCCTGTCACAAGGCAGGTAGACGCCTGTTCCTGGCTCAGGTGGCAGCAAGCAAAGGACCAACGGGACTTGACTGAGCAGCAGCAGCCGCGGGGCACTGTGGCTTCATACAGGTTCTCACTGTCTATTTAATTGTGATTCCCTCGTTTTGCTTCTAGCCCAGATGCTTTTTTTCAGCTGCACATAAATTGTAATGCGTTTCCTTCAGAATTTCCCAGGCACGTTGCTCTTTCATGAAGAAAAAAATACACAACGAACGAGGAGTAGGAGGGAAGTTCAGCGGGATAAGGGGCGTGAACGAAAATCCACGGCTGGCAGGCACTGCCCTCAGTGGACGGGGGCTGGACACTTCCCCAGGACAAGCAGTGAGACCGGACGCCCCGTCACACTGGAGTTCTGTCCGGGCAACTCGTCAAGGAAAATGAGACATCAAAGGCACCCTGATCAGACAGGAGGAAGCAAAACGTCTCTCCTCACAGGCGACAGGGTCTTAACCACAGAAAACCCTGAAGAACGCCCCCCCCCCAAAACCTGCGAGAGCGATGTGAGGCCTGGACGCAGGACACAGACCAATAAACAGAAGTCTGTGTGCCCGCACCGCAGAAGCCACGCCTCGTCTGGGGTCGAGGTTTCCGTGCATCTCCATGCACTGGCGCCGAGCACTCTGGAAACACACACACACACGGAAGCGATGCCATCTACCACGGCCTCACACAGAGTAAAGCACGTTCAAGCGTGAAAGCGACAGCCCCCAAACCCTAACCCATCGTGAGAGAAATCACGGACGACGGGGCGGTGGGACGGCGCCCTGAGGTCAGGCTGGACGACTCAGTGCTGCCGGGACGGCGACACTGCCCAGTGCCCCGCGGACCCAGCGCAGGTCGCCCCGGAATGCCAGCTGCTTTGCTCACTCACTCAGTCGCTTCTGCAGCAACGGACGGCCTGGTCTCAGACCCCCCGTGGAACTGCACGGGACCCTGAAGGGCCAAAATGACCTCGAGAAGGAGCCGAGGGGGAGGCTCACTCTCCCGGAGCCAGAACTTCCTGTAGAGCCGCCGTCATCAGGACGACGTGGCGGGAAGACAGACACAGGTCAGCAGGCGAGGACGAGCATCCGGACACATCCACAGCCCAACAGTTTCTCTCTTTTAACAGCTCGGCTGAGATGTAAGTTCCACGCGCAAGGTCCTCTGTCTGAAGTGTGTGACGCCCGGCTGCTCAGTGTGCTCACGGAGCTGCGGACCCCACCAGCATGGACACACACACGCCCAGAAAGGCCGCGGTCCTCGTGGCCGCCGGTGGTCACTCCACGCTGCCACACCCACCAGCGGCTCCAGCGCACGGATGTGGCAGAGCCTGCCACCCACAACCCCGCGGGGACTCGTGGCTGGTTCTCCTCTTTCGCCCAGGAACACCTGTGCGGAAGCCCCCTGGGCGCCTGCCCATCTCCGCTGTGCCGGGAGCCGAGGAGCGGGGCTGTGGGGCGGAGGGGAATGGGCACCGGCGTCGGAGGGGCTGTCAGAGGGGCTGTCAGAGGGGCTGTCAGAGGGGCTGTCAGAGGGTCCCCAGCGCGCTGTGCTGGCTCCTGTCTCCCCACATCTCCACCAGCCGCTGTTCCTACCTCTCGTGATCTGAGCAACCCTTGACATGGGTCCCCACAACACTGACATGCCGAGGCCTCTCAGCAGCAGGGACCTCGGGAAGGATGTGGGGGACACGGGACCAGGACTCAGGACGCCCCTCCAGGCCGAGGGGCTGAGTCTGCAACCCAGCGCTGCTATGGATACAAGAACCCCGGGAGTGGGGGCCGGGTTGGATTCCCTCGGGTCCCAGCTGCTCGTGACTGGAGCCTAAACTGCCCGGGTGCCCGGCCCGTGCGCAGCAGCGTGGGGTCCAAGTCCCCGTTCGGGACTGGACACTGAGGAAGGGGCGGCGGCCGCGCCCTGTGCCTGGCCTCTGGGGCGTCGCTCCCCATCCTGGGACTGCAGGGACCCTGTCTTCTTCCCTGCCCCTGTGACCCGCACCGGGCAATGGCGCTCCAGCTGCTCTGCAGAGCCAACAGCATGCAGCTCCAGCCGGCAGCACGGTCCCTGGCTGCCCAGCCACAGCTCAGGCTGGCAGGAGCCCGTGGGGCACCCCTGCCTCCAGCACAGAGGGTGGGGTGCCCCCCTCACTCCCTCATGCCAGGCATCTCCCTGGTCAAACACACTGAATCTTGCCAGCACCCCTGAAATCAACGTTGGGTCAGCGCTGTGATTTCTGCCTCTACACCTCCACAGAAGACGCAGTACCTGGCAGACGCCCACTGCACGACACCTGGGGGCCAGGGACACGTGTAAAGGAGCCTGAGTGGCTGAGAGAGTCAGAATGGACGCGGCCGTGTACAATGAAACGCCTTCCAGACTAGCTCGGAACTTCTCGTTAGCCATCTGCACCGTGGAAGGGCCCTGCCGTGGTGGCCAGGGGAGCGATGCAGAGAGCTGCCTCACGACCACATTGAGGAAGAGAAGCGTTTATTTTTAAACAGCGATGCAAAGAGTGAAAAGTCCCCTACTTCAGGCGAGAGAGCGTGTGAGGCCGAGGCAGAACTGTCTGTCCGCCTCGCAGAAGGACAGCGGTCAGTTCCTCGTCTCCCAGGGGCCTGCCCTGGGGTCTGCGGACGACCCTCGGGGCAGGCAGAGCCCTCACGCAGGAGCTTCAGCGACCCACCGCCTCCTCTCCCACCAGCCTTGTCGCCGATCAGAGCCGTCGAGTTGGAAGAGGGGAGAAAGCCCAGACAGACCCCAAACACAACACCTCCAAAACGGCCAAGGACGTGGGGTCAGTGAGGCTCCCAGAGCAGCAGGGAGCGCAGCGACCGACCCACCGGCTGCTCCTGCTCCTGGGGACGGAAGCTGCCCGCCCCCCCCCCCGCCCGCCCGAATAGCGCCAGGGGTGCAGACCCGCGGTGGGTGCTGGGGCCCCCGCCCCGTGTGCTCACAGAGCGGTCCGCTGTGTGTGCGTCTGTGTCCTGGCCCCTTCTCCTACAGGACGCCGGTCCTGCTGGGTCAGGGCCCTCCCGGTGGCCTCGTGTGACCTCATCTCCCCGGGCGCCCGTCTCCAAACACCGGCCCCTCCGGGGCTCGGGGGCCAGGACGCGGACACACAGACTCTGGGAGACACGGCGCGGCCCAGCAGGCCTGACCTTTGGAAAGGAAAGGCCCAGCCAACGGCAGTCACTGGTTCCTCAGGACTGGTCCAGGCGCTCTTGCTTCCACCGACCTGACCGGTCAGCGGACACCCAGGGTGGCGATGGGACCAGCCGTGCGGCTGGGACTCCCGTCACCCACAGCCCTCACCTGCCACCGGGGGGACGCGCCGGCACCTGGCTCTCTCCGGAGGGGCTTCGGGGGCGGCCGGCGGTGGCGCACGCTCGTCCTGGTCACACGGCTCACGAGGGAACAGTCTCTTCAGCACTTTTCCAACAAACACTGAGGTGCGACCGACCGACAAAGAGAGAGAGAGAAGGAATTACTTACGGCAGTTTGATTCAAATCACGTGCAGTCCACTTACAACAAAGACCTGTTCTGCTATTACCACCAGAAAGCAAAGCGACTGTCCTGACGGGACCCCCAGCGCTGTCCCCAGAGGTCCCTGGCCACCTCCCTGGGACCCGGCGCTGGGCCGCCCGCTGCGCACCGGCCGGAGCCGGCCCCGGAGCCGGACTCCCACACCCGACGTGGGCTCTGGAGGTGGTTCCACTCCTCGGGTGCCCACTCCTGACCAGCCCACACTCCCCCGAGGGGGCAAGCCCGCCAGACTGGGAGCAGAGGGGCTCTCCCGGCCGGGTCCCCGGGCAGGGCTCCCCTGACCGTGCTGTCCCTGTCCCTGGCTGACAGGACCCTGGGTTCTGGGGCTCTCCCCGGGGAAAGCACCGAGCGGGGCTCGGAATGTTGTCCAGCAAACACCGCCACCAGAGCTGCCCTGAACGACAGGAAACCCTCTCGAGAGACGGACGGAGTTCGCTCCTTCGTGGCCCCGTCCTCGGGCGCGTGACCCACAGCCCCTGGGGAGGCAGGAGGCTCGGGGGCAGGAGCGCAGGCAGGGCTGAGGCGGGGACACGAGGATGGACGCAGCCTGGAAACTGGGCCTCGAGGTGATGCCCATGGAGGGCAGGACGCGACGCGCGTGACGACAGAGGCCACAGCCACTGACCGCCGTGTCTCACGTGGAGAGAGAGACACGGGACCGGCAGGTGCACGGCCTGCCGTGCAGAGGGCCCGGTGAGCCGGCTCACGGACGGAAGAGGGAGATCATCTAGAAGGTGCAACAGGAGTTTGGCTGGCTTTTTTGACATCGCATTAAAAAAAAAAAACAAAAAACCCTCCTGAAAATAAGACCAGAAATGGACATTAACACAAACTCCTGCCACAGCCAACCGCAGGGTGAAAGTGAACCCTTCCAAGCCTGCCGCTGAGCAGCCCCTCCCCACCCACCTGCGGCGCGTGATGAAGACAGAGAGCCCGTCTCTGCCGGCACCGGCCCCGTGCTCCCCACCTCAGGCCTGGCCTCTGAGCTCCCCGTTTTGCTGGCTCGTTTGTTGCAGAGATTTCATTTATTTTTAGAGAGAGCAGAAGGGACGGAGGAACATCGATGCGAGAGAGAAGTGCCGACCGGTTGCCTCCCCTGTGTGCACCCGCCAGGGACCAAACCCGCAACCCAGACGCGTGACCTGGCCCGACAGACGCCTACCCCACTGCGCCACCCGACCAGGGCTGCGCCTCGTGTTCTAACAGCCACTTTAAATCCAGATCTTTTTAGGGTCACTGTGTTTCTCAGAATCCCACGTTCTGGGTGTGCTCTTTTCATATTTAAAGCCTGCTGAATACCCGCCAGCCCCTCCACCGCTCTCTCAAAAACAACATTCAGCATTCAGTGTGTGTTTTTCCATTTTATCCTTTAGCGAGGCACAGCGCTGAACCTTCGCTGGTAACGTAGGAGTAGAGGAAGAAGTTAATGGCACCGCACCAGTTCGTGGAAATGGAGTTTAGAATAGCTCGTAATTCAGTAATGATAGCTTCTTAATGGGTTTCATAATAGAGTTATAAGTGGAAAAATAATTAGCTAAGATTTAAGCAACAGTTGGCCAACTTTCTGAAACATTCATTAGAAGGAAAATAGTACTCAAAGGGACATAATTGAAACCCTGCACCACAGCCCACCTGGTGTGGTGTCCCCACCGAAGGAGCAGAAATTCACTCACGCTCATTTTCTCCACAAACATCAACATTAAAAAATACTCTGAACTTTGTCCAAAGTTTTTCCTTGTAGGGCTCTTGAGGAGCATTTACTGTATCATTAACTAGTCACACACACGTGCACACGTGTGTGCTCACACACAGACACACACACCCCGCTGAGACACACACACGGGCAGACACCCCGGGACCCGTCCCACCGCTGCTGCTGGGGGACCACGTGTGCTGGTGGCCACCCCCAGGAAGCCCCCGGTAAGCGGCCCACCATGCTGACCTCCAGGCCTAAGACGCTGGGCCTCAGGGGACAAGGGCTGGTCGGCCAGCTGGGACGGAGGCCCACTGACCATCTGACCGCACCTGCGGGTCCCGGCGGACTAGAGGGCTCGGCTGCCCTCTTCCTCGCTGCCACACCCCCAGCTCCCGGGACGGTGCCCTGGGAAGGCCCAGCCTGGGGCTGGCAGGAACAAGTCACTGAAAGTCAGGTGGCCCAGCTGCACCCAGCACCCGGTCCCCAGCGTGCCCCGCGCCTGGTGCAGACGGGTCCAGGGCCTCCATCACCACGGTCTGCGGTGAGAGGAGCGGCGTCATTTAATCCTTGTAACCAGAGGCTCGTCACCATCTCCCTCTGGGTGACAGTTAAATAAGTCACGGGATCAGCCCGCAGGTGGGGCACCCTGGGCTGGCACCTGTGCAGTGACCCTCTCCACCACCAGCCCCAGGAACAAAGGAGCTGCAGCAGTGACGGGGGCGGCGGTGACCACGTGCCCTTGTGAGTGCGGCGAGCAGCCGTCCCAGGGCCCATGGTGGATGGGTGGGTGGGGGGGCACCCCATGCTCCCCAGACAACCCTGGGACTCAAGTCCTGCCCGCCCGGGAGTGCCCTTCAGTGGCCTCGGGGAGGAGCAGCTGGCCACACGGCCTCAGCACCAGGGGGCGGGGTAGGGCGGGGCGAAAGGAGCTGCCGAGCTCCGAGGACACCCAGGCAGCGGAGCTGTGTTGAGGGCAAGGGAGACGGCGGCTTTCTCCAGACAGACGAGCGCCCGCTGACAGGGGTCCGGACAGCACGGGAGGGCCGGGATAGGGCGGCAGATGCTGCGCTGGGTCACTGACTCCACGGGTGGCCGTGTGGTCCCCGAGGGTCAGTACTTTGCCAGAGGGGACCTGACAGTTCGAGGCAGCAGGAGCAGAGGCCAGCCACCCTTCGCCTCCCCAGCACTGTCCCCACGGGGCAGGTTCCTTCAGCTCCGCCTCCTCCTCCGAGCCAGCACTGGCCCAGGGCCTACCTGACTGAGCCCAAGGGCTGTCGGGTTCTCCCCGGTGTCCCCTGAGAGCAGGGGCCCTCCTGGGTTCACTTCAGTCACCTCCCAGAGGTTCCCGAGTTCTGGCCCAAGACACACCCCCCAGAACCAGCGGTACACTTTCCACATGAAACAGAGCACATTTCAAAAAAAGAAATTCACTTTGTACTCGAGGACAGTGGCTGCAACGTCGGACGCTCTCCCATGATCCCAAGACTGTGTTACAAACCATCTTGGGGGGCTGACTGCCCGACCTCTGCAAGCTTGCACTTGCAGATGGGCTGAGTCTTTTCCAAATGCACACGGACCGTCCCGAGATGCAACCCCCCACCCTGGCCCAAGGGAACGGCCTGGAATGTCCGGAGCTGAGGCTCCAGGCCAGCCCGCAGCTCCCCCAGCACCACCGAGCTGTCCCACAGCCGGCAGAGCTCAGGGCCTGAGCTGCAGGACGAGCGTGGAGGAAGAGTCCTGTGTGACCCCTTCACGCTCGCTTCCCTCCCACAGAAGCACAGGCAGCCCCAGGTTCTAGAACGGCAGCTAGACCATGAAGAAGAGGGAGGGGGGCCCCAGGCCACCATCCTCGCCACCTGCCCTGCGTTTCCCTAATTGCAACACTCACCCCAAGTCACTGAGGTGCGAGGGCGGAAAGCTGGGGGGCCTCTGGTGTCCTGCTCCCACAGCTCAGGACTCAAATCTCTCCCAGCTCCAACACCCCCCCCCCCCCCGCCCTGAGTGGCTCAGGGCTCCGGGTCCCAGCGGAGGGCCCTGCCAGGTTCCAGGAACAGGAGGGTACACGCCGCACTAACGCTCTGTTCCCGCGGGCATCCGACACTGTCAGGACTTAGCACCCGCCTCTTCCCGCTGAAAACAATGCCCTCAAACCGCCGAGCTCCCCTCACACCCCGTCACATGTCCATCAGAGACAGCGTCCGGGGAGGTGCGTCCTGACTGGGTGCACGAGGAAAAGGCTCCGTTCATCTTCTTGCGGGGCTGACAACGGTTTCGGAAAGCAGACTGTTTGTGTTCCAGGTGACACGGTCGCTTCCAGCACAGGGCACAGCCCTGGTGCAGAAACAAGGACAGCGTTAGAGAAACAGGGACACTCGCGCCAAGCACAGGGAGCCCCCATCGCCACACAGGAGAGCAGAAGGGGGCGACCCAGTCAGCACGAAGACCCCGGAGACGGCCTGTCAGCGGCTGACAGTGGGACAGACAGGCAGGGGGTGTCACTGGCATCAGATGTGGCCACCCTGGGGCCCAACACCCGACCAGACCAACAACAGCCAGGACTCAGTGACACCGGAGCGGCAGGGACGCACCTGCACGGTGCTTCTCCAGGAAGGAAGCCGCAGGGTGGGAACTATCTCACTTTCCCCATATTCTGCCTTGCCGACGATTAGTTTCCTTTTCTTGTTTTAAGCAAATGCTTAACTACGGTTGCCACTCAGCTTTTCATTTCAACGGGCAAAACCACAATCCCCTGTTTTAAATGCAGAGGAAAAAAACATCATGGCCCGAACTATTCCAAGTAATGTGAGAAACATACCTGAATCCGTAAAACTAGAAGAAAACACACAGAAAAAGCTCCCTGACATCAGTCTTGACGATAACTTTTTGGACTTGACAACTAAGGCACAACCAACCAAAGCAAAACTAAGCCAGTGGGACCACATGAAACTGAAAAGCTTCTGCACAGCCAAGGAAACCAGCAACAAGATGAAAGCAGCCTGTCCAACATGAGGGAATGCCTGCCAGCCGTATGTCTGATAAGGGGTTCGTGTCCGAGATGCAGAAGGAACTCAGACAGTTCAATAGTGAAAAACAGTCCGATTATAAAATGGACAGAGGATCTGAACAGACTTTCTCCCGAAGAAGACGCCCAGGTGGTGAGCAGGTGCAAGAGAGATGGCTCCTGCCACTCACCATCAGGAGAGTGCACTGCTCGCTCACAGTGAGATGCCACCTCGCACCTGTCAGGATGGCCACCATCGAAAAGACGACCTCCAACCAGTGCTGGCGAGGACGTGGAGAAGAGGCAGCCCTGTGCACTGCTGGTGGGAAGGTAAGTGGTGCAGCCCCTGGCAAAAGCAGCATGGAGGTTCCTCGCAATACTAGAATGAGAACTGCCATATAACCCAGCACCCCCACTTCTAGGTACTGATCTGAGTGAAAAACACTGACCTGGGAAGCTATCTGCACCCCACGTCCGCTGCAGCTTTACACAATAGCCCAGGTCTGGAAGCAGCCTCCGTGTGCACGGATGGTAAGTGGATAATGAAAATGTGGCCCGTACACACAATGGACTATTACTCAGCCATGAAAAGGGAATCTTCCCGTGTGAGACAACAGGGATGGACCTAGAGGGTACTGTGCTGAATGAAACAAGTCAGAGAAAGACAGACACCATGTGATCTCACCTGTATGTGGAATCTGAAACAACAAACAGCCTACACTGATGGAGACAGGGGAGACTGGCATTTCCAAGCACCCCGGGGTGGGGGATGGGTAAAATGGGAGACGGGTCCCTGACATAAAGCCAGTCAGTCCCGGGGAGTCACCACCGGCTGGTGGCTCTGGCTAACAGTTCTGTGCTGCGCAGCCCACAGGTTACCGGGGAATATTCAAGGGCTTCATGCAGGAACCGAGTTCCCTGCCTCTGACATGCAATCCTAAGGCACCGCCGGGTAAAAACGCATAACGCCCTGCCTTTGGTCCTGGTTAAAAATACTGTCACTTAATAAGCATCCGTGAAGGCCCTGCAATTTACAAAGCTGCGGGTCAATAGCATTCCCTCCGCCGCACAGATAAAGACGCCGAGGCGCAGCGAGGCTGCTGCTCTTTTGTTTAAGGTGACGGGGTCGCCTCGCGTCGCTGTCGGGAGCGCCTGCAAACCCCGTATTTCCTCCGGAAGGGGCTCGCCGCCTCGGGGGTCCCACAGCCCCCAGGCCCTGCCCGCGCGCCCCGGACACACAGGGCGGCGCTTGCGGGCTCCGGACGTACCTCGGTACCACGGGGGCCCCCTCGTCCTGCCAGAGGCCGGGTGTCGGGACGAGAACTTGGGTCGAGAGCTGTGTCTGAGTCGGCGGCTCCCCAGTCCCCCCGGTTCCCCGAGTGCCCCGCTGCCCCATCAAGCCTACCGTGCCTCCTCCGCGCCGCCGCCATATGGGTCCGACGACCCCCGACCCCTTCCGGGGCCGAGTACTGCCTGCCGCTTCCGCATCCGCCCCTGTAGTCACGCCCACAACAGCAGGCGTGCCCAATCCGGATCCAGGGTTTCTGCCGCTGATGTCTATCAGAGGCGCTGCGGTTTCGGATTGGCTGTAGGAAATCTGTGGGCGTGGCTTCTGGGCGCCTGCAATCCCGGGTGCGCTGCGACCTGGCTGCTGAGGGGTCAGCGGCAAGAGGGGTCATCAGAGAGGGTCATCCCAGCGCCGGGTGGGAGAGTGGGTCGGGCGCGGGGGCCGTGGGCGGGATCTGCTCGGCGCCCACCCAGTCGGCGTCCCGAGGCTCCTCGAACCGTGGGGCAAAAGGGACCCGCGGGAGCCAGCGTCCGCGCCTGCGCCCAGGCCCTCCTCCCGCGTGCGCTCGTAGGCAGCGCCTCCGACAGGTGCGCTGTCTGGTCTCCGGCCGCCCGGCTGTCCTCTCTGGACCGGGCTTCATGTTTGCCCTCTTCCCCGGGCACACGTCTTGGGTAGCGTATTTGTGAGCGCTTGTATCTGGATGCTGAGGGTCTACGCGCGCGCAGGGGCGACAGTATGCAGTGAGATGGACGGCATGCCTCCGGGAGACCGGAGCTTGGGGAGAAAGGGGGCCCCAGTGGCGCGATGGAGTGGTCAGAAAGCCTCAGAGAGAGGGGAATTCGAGCCATGCTCGAAGCAGGGTACAGCAAGTGCCCCCTACATCCCTGGTGATGGCGTCTGGGGAGCAGAGCCGAGGCCACCGTGAGCTGAGCACAGTGACCGATAAGGGGATGGTGACAGACGTGGGCCGACAGGAGGCAGACCTTAGTGTTGGGGCCAGTCCCTGGGGCAGTGGTCAGCTTTATGTTTTCCAGTGGGCGAGATGGAAATCGGGGCTGGCTTTGAACCGACTTGAATTTCCTGACACCTGAAACGAGTCCCCTGCGCCGCGGTGCAGAGAGCAGGTTTTGGTGGTGGACACGCGGAGGCCCCCTGGGTCCACTGCAATAAAAGACCTTGGTGTCTGGCCACCGTGGGCAGTTGAGGGAAGGGATGGTTGGATTTGGGATGTATTTGAAGAGGAAGCAAAAGAGATTTCAGACTGACTACACGTGGGCTGTGACAGAGGAGAGGTGTGCAGTGGCCCCAGGTTTGTCCGCTGGTGTTTCACTGAGGACAGCCGAGCCCCCGGAGGGTCATCACTGGGGGTGGTGTGTGCCGTGTCAGGTGTGTTACCTGTGAGGGGATGGATGTGTAGGCATCAATGGAGCAGTGGAATCTGATTGCAGAGTTCTGGAGAAAGGCCCAGGATACAGAGAGAGAACTGGGCTTGTCTGCATTTAGGTGACCTTTCGAGCTATAGGGAGGACTGAGTGGACAGAGAAGTGGTCCAAGGACTGAGCTCTGAGGTGCTCTGACTTCCGGAAAGTGGGGTGGCCGGGAGGTCCCAGCTGTAGCAATGAGAGGGGCTGAGTGGACAGTGTGCTGTCCTGAAGCCAAGCCTAGAAGTCACCATTTGTCTTGAGTGATGTTGATGGTGAAGGTGAGGGCTGACCACAGACAACTGGATTTGCCCATTGCAGGTTATAGTGACCTTGATTACAGGAATCTTGTTGGCATAGGGGAGGCGGAAGCTTGATGGGAATTCAACAGAACCACAGGAGAGAAACTTAAGACAATGAATGCAGGTCGCTCTCTCTTGGGATCGGGGAAGTGGGCAGTGTCCGGAGGGTTTTAAAGACAGAACACACACACCACACGCACTCATGTAACCAGCAGAGGGTCTTTGAAAAGGAGCAGGACACACGCCACACGCCCAGCCTGTTCAGGTGCTGAAGCACCCGATCCAGCTGAGCTGAAAGATGAGGGATGGAGCACAAACGACTCGGCTAAACAACGGGCCGAACACCTTACCGCACAGAGACGAGGCACAGACGGCGAACAGCGTGTGGAAGGGTGCTCCCCTCCACATGTCATCAGGCAACTGCAAGTTACGACCACAGGGAGACCCCCGCAGACCCACCGGGACGACCTGAACCCAGAGCGCTGACGGCCCCCGGCGCTGGGAGGGTGGGGGCAGCAGGACGCTCTCACTGCCGGTGGGAGTGCAGATGGACAGCCACTTTGGAAGACGGTTGGGCGGTTTCTTACAAGACTAAATACACTCTCGCCATGCAGCCCAGCAACTATACTCCTTGGTATTTACCCAAACGAGGTGAAAACGTACGTCCACAGGAAGATCTGCACACAATGTTTGGTAGCAGCTTTGTTTCTAATTGCCCGGACTTGGAAGCAAACAAGGTCTCCTTCAGTAGGTGAGGGGTAAACCGGGAAAACCAGACGATGGAATATTGTCCAGCGGTAAAGAGAGGAGCTCTCAAGTCGTGCAAAGACGTGAGGGCACCTTAAATGCATATTATGAAGGGAAGAAGCCAGTCTGAAAAGATCACTGGTTGCCAGGGACTGGGGGGAGGGCCGAGCAGGGGAACCCAGAGGGTTTGGGGCAGGGAGTCTGCTCTGTGAGATGCTGTGATGGTGGACACGTGTCCTTGTGCATTTGTCCAAACCCACAGAATATACAACCCCCAGAGTGACCCTGATGTCACCTGTGGACTCTGGGTGACAATGACGTGTCAGTGCAGGTTCGTCAGTTCTGACAAGTCACCGGTCCCTGTGCACGTCCCAGCCAGCAAGCAGGCCCACCCAGTGGTCGGTCCCCCAGGAGCACCCTCCACCAGCTGCAGAGCCAGACCTGGGACCCTGCACACTCCCCCCACCTCTTCCCCCATAACCTCTCCAGAAAAATAATCCTCCGTGTATTCCACCTGCAACATCTCCCGCCCCTGCCATCTTGTCCAGGGCTTCGTGGTCACTCTGCAGGAGCTCCCCAGGAATTTCAAGGTTGATCCCCCCCCACCCAGTGTTACACCTACGTCCCCACTCTCAGCCACCTCCGCCTGTCCTCAGAGCAGCCACAGCGACCTGCAACAATTCACAGTGCCATTCAAAAGTCCGTGAACACAATCACATTGAAAAGCTAAAGAAAACCATATGATTATATCAATAGATGCAAAAAAAGTATTTGACACAATTCAACAAAATTTAAAGTTCAGATGAAAACACCACCAACCAGGAAAAGGGAGGAACTTCTTCCATGTGATAAAAACCGTCTACACGAACCCTGGAGCCAGCGTCACAATTACAGATGAGGAACCGGCTGCTCCCTCCTGCCACCTGGCGCCTCCCACCACCCCTTTCCCACACGAGACTGGAAGTCTTAGCTAATGCACTACAACCAGAAAAAGAGATAAAAGGTGTATAGGTTGGGAAGGGAGAAATAAAACTCTGTCCACAGATGACACGATTGTCTATGCAGAATATCTCTCCCCTCTCAGAATCCTGCATCGCATTTCACTGTGTCCGGGGTATTACTCGGAATCCATCGACATCCTCGAAGCCCCTTGACACGCACTGTGGACGTGTTCATGCGACTCTCTCCTTGCTCACCTTGTCCTGGTTACCCCAACTCTTCCCCAAGTCCTTCCACCCCCCCCAAACCTTCTGCCCTCTCTTCTGCTCAGCATTCCCCACCTGGATCCCACTCCTGCTCTGCCCTGGCCCTCTCTGCTGGCACCTCCCACCCTGCTGGTCGGCCAGAGGAACTGGAGTGGGGGCAGCGGGAATGCCACCGTCACTCCCTGGAGGGGGGTGGGGGGGGAAGACAGACCAAAAGGCCCACCTTCCGCCCTGCAGAGCGCCTTCTCTGCGGTGCCTCCCGGGGGCCCTGCCAGTCTGAGCGCCCGTGGTCCACAGGGGTGGCCAGCTTGGAACAGCGTCCAGTGCCATGCCCCCTCTCCAGCTCCCTGGGTCCACCTCCCACACGAACTGCCTGCACCCAAGCCCACATCTCAGCACCTGCTTGGGGGAGAACCTAGAGGAAGTGAAGGTGTAACTTGATTACAACATCCTCAGACAGGTGTTTCCTGATGCCACAACCTGTGCCGGTCACCCTTGCAACTTTCTCCAGTGACACCCTATCTCTTTCCTTCAGGGAAGCAGTTCAGGTTTGTTAGTTATACTATACATTACTGGGTTATGTTGAAAAACGACGCTCTCCCTAGACAGAAGAGCCGGTGTCTGCTTCTGCTCACACTGCAGGGCACATGAGAGGCACCCAGCACATGTCTGTGATCTGTGTTGTGCCGTGGCAGGAATGGGTAACTAAATGGATCTCAAAAAGATGGAAGGATGGGGACAAGTATGGGGAGGACGGAAGTAAGGGGGAAGTCCATTGTAAAAGAAAAAACACCAACCTAGAGTCTGGATTTTGGAGAGCAGTCTGGGACACACAGTCTAGCAGTTTTGAGCACAGCCTGGCTCTCGAAACACCAGAAGGTTCGATTGCGGTGAGTTCTTTGTTTCATCGCGGGTCCACTTGACTCAGCTCTTAGAACTTCCCTGGGAAAATAAACAACAACGTATTAATACCAGTGACCGGTTATACGGAGAAATCTCGTGGAGACACGCTTTTGATGAAAGATCCTGGAACTTCGGAAAAAAAACCACTGTTCCATCCCAAGTAGTTTGATCTCCTGATTCCCTCTTCCTGTTGGAATCCCTACTCATTTCCCTGAAAAATTTCATCTTGGTATTTTTCTTCTATCAGCTTTTGCACCTTTTATCTCATTTAAACCTCCCCACGCCCAGTTAGAGAGGCGGAAGAGCCCTTGACTGTTAAAAGCGGGGCTACCAAGTGGCCCCAGGTCAGTGCCTGCACTCCAGAAAGGGAATGAACCGGTCGGGCTCCCGCGCAGCGCGGCCCCAGGACCTCCCTTCCCGCCCGGCTTCCGGTCTTGGAAGGGCATCTCAGCAAATTTAATTACCGACGGTCAAGCGTGGCCGGTGTCGCTAACGTTTCCGGAACGCTGCAGGTTGTCCACACCCCCTTGCTGAATTAATCCCCCTCCCTCGTCCCTGGCCCTGTAGTCTCCGTGCTGCTGGCAGCGAGCTCCCGCAGGCGCAGGCCCCGCGGGTGGCGCTCGGTGCCTCTGGGGACATGGCGGGCGGCCCCCTTTCCCGCGAAGACAGGGAGATGCGCGCGGGGGAGGAGTGGATCGCTCGGTTGGGGGCAACCGCAGCGAGATAGACAATCCTCCTGCCGCGGGAGCATTTGAGTGTGGAGGAGCCTTTACTTCGCCCACGAGCCCCTCACACGAATACACCCGCGTGTCAGTCTTGGAGTCCAGGGCGGGCTGCACCTGCGCAGGTGTTCAGGTGCGCGCGGCATCCGCGGGAACTTCCCAGCACTTTCGCATCTGCTCCGGGGAAGCCCTGGGGCCACGGGCGGGCCGCCGGACCTGCCTCGGGCGTCTCGTGTCCCTGCTGTCCCCGCGTGACCGGCTGCTCCCCGTGCAACAGTTGGCGGACGGCACGGTGTGCGCGCTCCCCGGGGTCCCCTCCGGGAAAGGGGCGGAAGGGGCGGGCGGGGTCGTCGCCTGAGGCCCCGCGCTGTCCCTGCGCGACCCGTCGGCTCCCCAGGTGCCGCCGCACGTCGGCCGCCCCCCAGTGCGCGGGGCCTCCCCGGGCGCCCAGTGCGCAGGCGCCGCCGGGAGGACCGACTGTGCGCCGGGCTCGAGCGCGGTCGGAGCGCGCGGCAGCGGCGGCTGTAGAGCACGGACCCGCGGGCGCGCTGGCGGACAGGCGGACAGGCGGACCTGGTGACAGCCGCGCCGACCGGCGAGCCGCCGTCCGGCCAGAGGGGCCAGTTCGCCATGTGTCCCTGCATCTGCTGACCCAGGAGCGCCGAGGATGTCCGCCCTGAGGAAGGTGCGAACCAACGGGGCCGCGGAGCCCGCGCGGGGACCGGGCGCGGGGACCGGGCGCGGGAGCCGTCGGGGGTGCGGGGTCCCGGGCTGGGCAGCGACCTGCCCAGAGCCTGGACTCCCAGGGTCGCGGACGCAAAGCTGTGACATTATGCGCTCGGCCGGGCGGGGACCCGAGGAGGGGGCTGCGCGCAGAATTGGGGGAGGCGGGTGGGAGCGGACCCTTCTGGGAAGGCACGGGGATGCGGCTGCCGAGGCTGAGAGCAAGGGTCGCGGGGGTCGCGGTCCAGGGCTGGAGGGGCCGGCGGGTGGCTGCGGCGCGGGCGGGGCCGGAGGAGCGCGCCGCGAGGGGGTGGCCGCCGCCTGCTCTCCGCGTGTGAGCGCGAGCTCGGGGGCTTTTTCGGGCGGTTGCTAAGCGAGGCGCTCACGGCGCAGGATTTTGTCACCAAGCCTCCCCCGGCAGCGGCTGTTGCTGCTCTCGGCTCGCTCGCTAACGATCGCGCAGAAATAACGGGATGTGACTGTCGCAGCCGCGCGGCGCGGGCGGGGGCCGGCGGGCCAGGTGGCGGGGGGTGGGGGCGCCGAGTGCGCGCGGCTCGGCGGAGCCGGCGGACAGGGACGGGGTGGGCAGGGCGCAGAGTTAGAGGCGGAGGGGCGATCCGGCGGAGACCCTCCGAGGCAGAAGGGGTGGCAGGCGCAGGGCAGGCGCGGCCGGCGGCGATTCGCGGCGGAAACTCCGAAGCTCCAGCCCTTCCTCCAGCTCCTCTCTCACTTCGCAGCTTCTGTGACTCCAGCCGCCTGCGCGTCGCTTGCTGCTCCAGATGAATGGCCGGGGCTGGGATTGCGGGGCTGGGAGCCGCCTGTGCGGGCTACGGATAAAGCGTTGGGCAGCGAGTTCTTCCTCTTGTCATTAATCCTGGCTGCGCGAGCTGTGGGTGGTGTTAGAGCTGGGACTGTCCCCTCGCACGTGGAGGCAGCAGGGCGCAGGGAGCCGCTCCCGGCAGCACTGCCCCGCGGGCCCCCTCCTGGGGTCCTGGGGTCCAGTTGGCTCGGCGTGTGCAGCTCGGAGCCCGGGACGGCGACCTGGGACGCTAGGACTTCTTTGCAGGCGGCGACTCAGTTGTACCAGTTGTTAGAACATCGCCCTGCGTCTCAGCGTCGCCTTGCGGAGTCCACCCACCACATCCAAAGGGGCCGCCCGCCCAGTCTCAGCGCCGACCCCTCCCCCACACCTGGGAGGGAACAATGGATTTGAGGTTAATGCGCCGCATTACACCCTTTCCATTTTCCTTCAGATTCTTGGCGAAAGGTGATAGGCAATTAAGGAGAAAAATGATGAAATGATGAAAAATGGTAATTTTTGGCAGGTCAAATTGTTACTCCGGTGTTTGAAAAAACGCCGTTAATCAGGATTTTCCAGCGGCAAGTTGTCTGGTGCAGGCAGCTGCGTGACTCACAGGGTTGGCCGCGGACGCGCAGGGCACGTTCCCGGGGTGGCGTGACTTTTTCGGGGCTCAGAAGAGGACAGACGAGGCTGTGCTCGCCCCCCATCTGGCAGCCCAGCCAGCAGGCCTCCGGGAGCACGGTCCATCCAGCTCCCCTGGGCCGAGAGGGTTGTGGACTGCTGACCGGCTTCCGGGGCCCGGGACACCCCCGCTTTCCGTCGCCACTTGAGACGTCCGGCCCCAGTCAGGAGTCCTCTGACCGCGGGGTGCACTCTCAGCGAAGCCACGCCTGCCCCTCCTCCCGCCCGATGGCCGGTGTGGGTTAGGAAGTCAATAAACTGTTGTGCGCCACCCGCCCGTGCCATGTCAGGGGAAAGGGTGCGCTTGGCTTAGTGAGCAAAGCGAGCACTTGATAAATCCCAGGTAGTGAAGTCCTCACAGTGAACGTTCTCTCACCACGAAGATGCTCTTCAGAGAAGCTCAGTCAGCTTTTCGTGCTGTCTTTTACTATTACTGTTGCTGCCTTTTCTCCCAGAGAACTTGTCACTCACAGCGTAGTTATCCAGAGCAGCGGCTTAGCTTGAGACAGAAACGAATGTGTATTTATTTACTAAAACATTTTTATTGTTTTAAATACTTACAAGCTGTTTTAACTGTCTTCGGTTGTGAGTATGCAAAACACAGTTTATTCTCGTAGTATCGTTTAGTATCGAGTTATTTCCCACACAAACGACCGTAAGCCTACCTTAGCCCCGTCCTGCATGTTCGCGATTTTTTGCTAGGCCTTAGGTTACGTATGATGTGAATGAATTAACAACATTTTTGAAAACAGAATTTAGATTATTCCTCCCAGAGAGACAAATATGTCATCCCGTGGCAATCTACTGCTTCTCCTAGTTCTGTCTCTTTCATTTTTGAAATTGTAGAAAAGCCAAATGAAATGTTAGAAGCAAAAAGTGCTTTGCAAAACCTGAGTCCTCTCGGCACCCACACACCCAGAGCCCGAGCCACTCTGAGGCTGAAGGTTCTGATGTTTGTAAAACCGCCGAGGACCGGCTCTCCCCCTCCTCGCGGAGCGCCGCCCACACGTGCCTGTGCCAGGGCCTCGAGGAGAGGCTGCCGCCCTCCTCGACTGCCTCCAGGGAGCATCACCGCTCCCCAGCTCCCCCGGGGCTGGGCCGAGGACACGCTCTGGCTGCAGGCTTGAAAGGGAGATGATGGGAAGGTGTCATTTCTCGACCTCCGGAGTGGCTGTGCTGTGGCCATCCACTGGACACAATGGGAGTGGCGGTGACTCATCGCTCTGGCCGGATGGGCGCTGCATTTCCAGCACTGGCAGTGTGCTGCCTGGGGAGAGCCACGGGCGTCCGCACGGGAAGCGAGCGGGCAGAGCATCCGACACAGCGGAAAATGGCTCTCAGTCAACCGGCGCTAGGTGCAGGCTACTCTGTGCACCAGCTTCGGAAGTGGGTTCCGCTGTCTTCGAGGTGCTGTGTGCACCCAGAGGGAGGGTGTCCTTCGCGTGAATGAGGAAAGCGGGCTTCAGGGTCGACAGAACCCTGAAGGGAGGGGCTGCACGGGGTGCGGGTCACAGCTGACTCCTGTGTCCGCTGCCGGGGGGACGGGGCGCCTTTACAGTTGCGTCCCTGCACACCAGCTGCCTCCGCCGGGGCGGCTGGAGGGCATGGATAAAGCGCACAGCCTGCCTTCCTCTCGCGCTGCTTCGGGCACTGGCCTCGGCTGCCGGCCGGCCGCGCCCAGGCGGCGGCTGGGGGCCGCCTCAGCCCCTGTGGCCGCTGTTCCGACACTTCTTCCCACGGAGGCTCCGTCGCAGCGACGGCTCTGACTCTGAAGTGAACAGCCGCTCCGGGCGGCTGCCGGTAGTTTTCCATGCCGGGAGTCAGGCTTGCTCCCGAGCCATCTGTCTTCCCGGGTGGATCTTCACGGGCCAGCGTCTCCGGCTTCTGCCACGCTTGCTGTTGCGGCACCCTCCCTTCCGGGGCCGCTGCGTGCGGAGGTCCCTGAGGAGCCGCCCTGCCCCCGTGTGCAGGGCAGCTCATGGCACCCGTGCTTCTCCAGAGTCCCTGTGTCAGCGCAAGCGTGACATTTCACTCCGCCAAGAGCCGCCTGTGCTGTGAAGGAGGGCGAGCGTCGGGGGGTGAAGCTGGGGGCGGCCTGTGGGCGGCGGTGGGGTATGCAGGCCTGGCTGGTGGGGCCCCAGCCGGGCTGGGCCTGGAGCCGGCGTGGTTGCTGGGTTCCCGTGTATGAACGAGCACCCCTCCCTGTGATGTGAGCTTCCGTCCCTGACAGCCCCATGGGATGGACGTGTCTTCAGTTTCTCCAAAAATTTCCACTTGAGGCTCTTATTCTGGGGTGAGATTCGTGGATCTTGGATCTTCACTCGGTACCTCTGTCCGCTATACATTTTTGTGGGTAGCCACAGGTAAAAGAATCAACATGAAACGTGATTAAAAAGGAGTAGACAGCTGTAGTCGGCCCGTCCATAAAACTGCAGCACAAATTGAAAAGGTGAACTTTGAAAATCTGATTGGTCCTTGTCTCTAAAACCATGTGCCGCACTCTGCGTAAAAGAAAAGCATCATCAAAACAGTGTTTCGCAAGGCCGTGAAGTACGTATGTGTTTTAAGCCAGGCAACATGAAGTTATCCTGTGGTGCTTGATTAACATTTCTCCTGCCACTTTGTGCGTGACGCCAGCCAGCAGCTTCTTGCAGCAGCAGCCCCGGGGTCGGGCTGCCTGGGCAGCCGGCGCCTTTGGCGGGTTGCTGGACCTCAGCACAGCCCAGTTCCGCTGTCTCCGAAAGAGGGTCGGGCACAGCGCTGACTCCATAGGGTTGTCTCAAGGCGTGCAGCAGCGGGTGCCGGAGAGTGGGGACGTGTCCGCGGCAAATGCTCACTCCGCGCTGACTGTTTTTATCACGAGGAAATGAAACGGAGCCGTCCAGCGTTGGAAGTGACCAAGCCATCCCCCGAGTTCTCGGGGACCTTGGGTTATTTCTAGTCTCCTCTTATAGGTCTGGTTTGCCCAATCCTTCCCAAAGGTTTTGCCTCCAGCAGGCTGTGGCCCTGTGGCAGGCGCCAGGCGCTGTCCTTGGTGCTGAGGATGGACAGTGTCCAGGACCGATGAGATGTTCCCGTCTCTGTTGCTGGGTCCACTGCGCAGGCCCCTCGCTCGGAGCGTCACCGCGCAGTGCTGTGCCAGGGGCCTGGGACGGGCCACGGTACTGACTTCTTCGTCTGCAACGTGAACATTTTGGCTCTTTAACAGTAATTTCCATTTTTCTAGCATCCTTTGTAATATTTCGACAGCTTCTAAGCAACTTTCTGAAAATCTGTCTTCTGACGTGATGAAAAACTCAGTCTAGAACCCACACTGGGGTGGGTCAGAGAGGCGCACAGGCAGCTGAACGCTGGGTCTTCCAACTTCGGCCACGGCCGTCCCGGCAGGTACCGCGTGGTGCCCCAGGCTGTCTCAGTGATGCCACTCGAAGCTTTGTCTTCCCTGTGAGGGACGGGTTGCGTGGCTCTGTGAACCAGCC